GCATTGTTGTAAAACACTTTATTTTCTATATAGCATTCTATAGCATTATATTAATGTAAAAACATTAAGAGTGTAAATATTCATCTGTCCAATCTTTTGAATTCAGTGTCTCACATACAGTAATGTGAACAAAAACAAGTGCTGTCTTGTGTATTTTCAATCATTGTCACTAAAACCTGAGCCACAGTTTACATATGAAAATTCTTACAGTGTACACTATTGTATTGACACCATGACTAAGCATCCTGACTGCCATGTTCGTAAACAATGACACAAGACCTTGTCATTCTGATGCACTAACATGTTCATTGACATAGGTATTCGCTTTTGAGAGATAAACTAAAGATTTTGAGCAAGTGATGTGCTTTTGCAGTTAATCCACTGTGTGGTGCTGTTTGTACAAACTGTTTCAAGAAATGCTCTGTAAAAACTGTAATTCCACAATTGAAACACAAATCTTACACAGCTGCAGTGCTTGTGAAGAGACATGCAGTTTTTCATATGCTGAAACAAGAAGGTTCACTTTCACTGCCGTGGTCCGCTCATGCTTTGCTCAGAAATATTGCACAGCTGTTTTTGTCTTCGGCCCCACTGGTCCTTTTCGATTGAGTTACATTGTTAAGTTAATGATTTTCCATATGAAGCCAAATAACTTACACTTTTCTATCTCTGTCCTTTTTAGAGTCCTTCCTTTTTCAGTTTGTTACAGAGGTATTTACTCAGCAGAACATTCATAAACAGTTTTTATTGTTGGTACTCAGAAATGGTTACTTTCCTTCTCCTTGTGGTTTTCTATACATGATTTTTTTTGGCTGCTGGCATCTGTGGGAGGCCTCGTGTTGTACTGTTTCATCTCATTGTCTTCATAGCTAATGTTATCAGTGCCTTGTTTCATGTTGTACCTCATCTCCAGGTCTTGGTTGGCCTTTGGTTTGACCTGCTGGAGCTGCAGCAGCACTGCCTTGTTCACACCAGGACCTGACAAAACAAAACATGGAGACTTAGTCCTCACTCTCAATTTTGCTGGTACCCTCTTCTACAAAGAAAAGTATACACAAAATATATACCAAAGTAGCTGAGCAGAACAGGGAGGAATATGAGCCCATGAGCCATCCCCAGAAGTGTGATGACCAGGTTTAGCCTAAAGAAGAAGATCTGGATGAGCTGTGCTTTGGCAAGCGCCAGCACAAGGATGCCTGGTAGGTTGGTCATAGCAACTCCAGCAAATACCTTCAGGATACAAGACAAATGTTTAACTCTGACATTTAGTGCTACATGTGGAAAGCTATTCAATTAACTGCTTGGCACTAAGAGTGAATGTTTATTTGCTTAAATTTGTGAGTGATTAAAAATGTCTAACTTACTGCACTGCCCATTTTGGCTGTAGCCTCCATAGCTCTCTCCACATGTGTGAGCTTGGTGCTGAGTGCGAAGGATCTTGTCATATGTGACACGAACTCCACAGATATGCCCACTGCCTGCAAATAACATGGTAAGAAACAACCACAGAAATTATTTAACTAGTATTGTTTGCAAGTTGAAAGCACTTTTTCTATTCTTTGTCTACCCTGATTTTATTTTTATTAGTTTTTTTTATAAAGGTAATTATCAATGAAACAAATTACTAAAGTTTTACTTGTACATATGATATCAAAGGTGAGTGTCTCAATAAAATCACAATAAAAGCTAACAAAAATAGTGGTGATATATGAATTATAAATATCTTGCCCTAATATAAAGGAAGTAAAACATCAGACTTATGTCATGGAAAGACTATAAAAGGAACGTTTCAGCACTTTAGTTTTGCACTTGCACAGATTAGACTAGAGACTAAAGATTAACAAAAAGAATCATCATTTGAACAGAGGCTACAGTATACTGTTATAAATCATTCAATCCTGCATTACCCATAATGCAACTCAATAGAATTAGACTGGTGACCACATGTTTTTTCAGCTCCACACCTCCAGTTTGCAACAGAGGCTTTCTGTTTTAAATTTAAAGTCTCTAAGCCCAAGTTAAGTCAACTGTGACGACATCACTATGACGTAAAGTTGAGTCTTTAATCCACACCATAAACATGTTCTTACTGTAACAAGATTGATGAGGGACACCGCATTGTAATCAATGTCCCACAGCGTCATGACACCAACGGTATCTACGACGATCATGATTATGGTGATCAGGTTGAGCAGGCCAGACCGCAGGTCCAAACCCAGCAGCAGACAGCACACCACAAAAGTCGGCAGCAGACACAGGGAGATGTTGAAGAGTCCCTCTGGCACAATGGTCAGATACTGCTCATAATATACATAAGTCAGCCTTAAGGAGGGAAGAAAACAGTGGTCAGAAAATACAGAGTGCCTAGATTTAATGGCTGATGACGTATAAATAATGAAAATAGACTGTCCATTCACAGAGCTGTGGAAGCCAAAATTGTTCTTTAGTAGAGGAAGAACAATGACATGAAAGGGCACAGGAAATAAAAGTACACACGTGTAAGGAAATACTTCAAAGTCACGTGAGGTCCCTGGTATATTCCTCATGCCCATAGTGATGTTGTGCGCTAGCTCTCTCGCCATCAACAGTGCAGCTGTGAACTCCTGAGAGTTGGTCAGAGGCGTGTGGTAAGCCATGAACCGAGAAGCTGGAAACATGGGAAAAGAGGCTGACTTACTAGCACCATTTCTATTTAAATGAATGTATAGTAACATTTCTTACTGCTTTGAGAGGACATAAAATGACTTACCTATAATTTCTCCACTGGCATCTTGTTTCACAGCTGTGTCATAAGCTCCTAGACCACTGTTTAAAGACACGATAAGCAGTGAGAATGTTGTGATGTGATGTTTTTGTGTGTACATATGCCGCTGCGATACACACCCTTTGGGGCACTGCAGGTCAGGCCTATTACCGAGGAAGTCAGGGAGATAGCGGTTGAATTGTTCCACAGTGGGCCTGAGAACACCATCTGAAGGTCGTGCCATACACTTGCGTCCACATTTGAAAAGAACTATTGAAACACGGGAGCAGAGTAGGTGTTAATAAAGTTTTTCATTAAAGAAATGAACCAAAAAAGTGTTTTAATGTGGTGTTTTCTCAGCAGCAATTCTCACCTTCATTTGCAGGACAGAACTTTCCAATATTTGGACCATTGGTGTATAGACGACAACATTTGGATCCAGGGTTCAGCCAGTCAATGAAATCATCCACCCAAGAGTTAGCAGGAATACCCAAGTAGGATCTACATATCATATCATTGATGGGTTAAAGAAAGGCAGGAATACAAATGTCCATGTTAAAGCATAAGGCTTGTTTTATTGTATATTTTTCTTATAGTCACCAAATCCAACTAAAAATGCGTTCTGTGCATAAATACTTGAAATTAAGATGTAAATATAAAAACAGATCAAGAGTAAGTATTTTGTCTCACTAATACTGTATAACAGCTGGGTGCTGTACCTTTAGCAAATGTTACACGCACAGTGGTATTTCGTGCATTTTCTGAGGACTATTTTCTGCCATGGATTCACACATATTTGGCGTTCTAATGAGTATTTGTAGCTGCAGGCCGATGTATGTGGCTCAAAGTAATCTACTATATCCTTTGTCACAAAGAAAATGCCACCTAATGTCACAGTGATGGTGATCCATGGCACAGAGAGGTTAACAGGCTTTAGCTACACAGACAATATGTGTTACTGTTGGGCTGTTTTGTTGCAATGCGTGTTGTTAATTTTAATCCTTGTAATAGTCACAATGCCCTACTAATGTTCTACTTCTGGTAGTTAAGATATATTTATTATACTGCAGGACACTTAACTGGCAAAAATGCACAAATAAGTTCTACTATTAGCTTGGTAGTATCCACAACTTTGTTCAACGGACCACTCCATTTTGATCTCTCTGCCCTGCACAATCAGTTAGAGGGACCCTTATCTGCTCAGTGGTGTAACTGAGATTATCATTAATTGATCTGATTGGCTTCTATGCAAGAAGTTGCTACTATATCAGCAAGTTCAAGGACTTGTCAGGGTAAAACTGTGTGATAAATGATGATGTAAAGGACAAAGGCAGAAAGCTCTCTCTTTGGTGTACCGAGCCAAGTAACTGATTCTGACTTTAACAGAGATGCAACAGTATACAGTTTGTCTAAAAAAGTCTGTCCAGATTCTGACAGTTAATTCACTGACTCACCGATCTGGGTAGTCTGTGGCGTACTGGATCTTCTGGGTCAGTGAGAACTGATCACAGCCCGCACTGGAGCAGACTGCATTCATTCCCTTAAGACTGGTGAAATTAAAACCCTTTTTTGTTACAAAATAAACTGGGACTCCAACTTCAAAGTATTTGTTCAGGTACTGGAAATAGTCCAACATATAAGAGCCCTGCAACAAAAACAGAAAAAAATTGTAAGGTTATATTGATAGAGGAGCATGCATTCATTTGTGTTTATAGTGCTTACTGACCTTTGGCATAGCCAGCTCCTGATCCAGACCCACTGTCACATGAAACATGAGGAATAAGGAACCACATAGCATGAAAATGAAAACCAGCATCTGGAGGGAAAAGAGGGCAGAAGGTATTCAACAAATACCTGGATAAAACAAGCCAATATTTCTTTTCTAAAATACTTTTGGTTTTATGATATTTTTGGCACAAGTTGAGAATAACTGTAAATATGTTATAGCTGAAGAGTTAGTAGCTTTACCACTATGATCCTGGTGTAACGGTGCAGTAGGACAGGGGCATAGTATTTCCTCATGAAGGGCAGCAGAAAGCCCTCACTGGGCTTGTTGGGACGCTGGGTTGACACTGTAACACAGCAGAGCAGTTCACAGCGGTTGTTATCTTGGCGCCGGGCGTCCAGGGACAGCAGCGCCACAAAAGCTGTCATCTGCAGAACAAAGTCCATAAGCACAGCCAGAGCCGCATACAGAGCAAAGGATTTCACTGCTGGCATGGTGGACAGGGCCCCTTGGAACAACAGACAGAGGTTAGCATATTGTATGGAAACTCAGTGGTCCCTTCTTATACACTGTATGTGCACTGAATTTTGAAAAAGTGAAAGCTAAAAAGAATACAGACATTCCTACCTAGAAAGAAGCAGACAGACTCTGAAAGACTGCACAGGAGCATGCTGGGAGCTACATTTCCAAGGACACGACCAATCTGCTCCTCTCTCTTCTCTTCAGGCCTCCTTACATCTCTCTGCAAAGAAGAACGAGGAGGGTAACACCATCAACACTGATAAACAGACCATAGAGAATCAGCACAGTTGTACATTTGTGGTGCCACAAAAACACACACCTGGTACTCCAGAACAAAAATGAAGATGTTGTCAGCTCCTACAGCGAGCACCAGGAAGGGCACGACCTGCAGAATAACCAGCGAGGAGGGGAGTCCTATCCAGGAGTAGAAGCCCATGGAGGCCAGTACAGAACAGGCGACCACAAGGATCCCACCCAGACCCACTAGAAACTTAGAGTCCACCTTCAAGAAACAGAGGTAAGATTCCAGATGTACATTGAACTCTGTGAACCTTTTCTCTTCCCCATATCTTTTGCTTTATTATGCCTTTTGTACTATATAACCTCAGGGCCAGTAACCATCCAACTGCCATATATGTTGTTCATTTTAGTGGATGCCTATCATATCCCAGATGCATGATGTATGCCTTTAAATGTAGAATAGAACAAGTTATGTAGCAACACAACTTAAAGTCTATCACCATGCTGGCAGCTGTGTGAAGCTGTAGATAGGCACAGTGGCACTTTGAGCTAAATACTAACATCAAAATGCTAGTATGCTCCCACTGACAATGTTACAGTTTTTCTCTATCGCTTTCATTCATTTCTCACAACAGAATTGAAGTTTGCAGATCTCCAAGTGCATTTCTCAAAACAACACGTACAAACTGCACAACATAGTGGATAACTGGAAAAAGCGCGTCACCTGCTCAAAATGCTTTGTCTATCGTGCAAAAGTGTGTTCTTTCATCAATCATTGTGTCAGAGGCAGCAGAATCCCATGTCATTTCCTCAACAATGTGAACGTGACAGGCAAAATTATTAGTCATGTTGTCAGTAGAACATCATACTCAGTTTTTGTTATTTACTGTAAACTATACTCAACTCAGGTTTTGATGACTAGAAACCACTAAATTACCGTACTGGTGTGTGTCATAATTTACAGTGTCCCTCCGGTAAAAAAAAAGAAGTGATTCTTGCAAACCATTGTGCATCAACCAGGTGTTACAGTAATTTACATGGTAAGAATAGATAATTTTCTGAATGATTCCATCTAACCTCATCTAACCAATCACCATCGCCCCACGTTACAGTATATGGAAGAATCGAAACAAAAGATCAGACTGTACTCACATTTCTACTGTACTGTCAATAGTGGTACTTACAGTACATACAGACAACAAAGGAAACTATACATAGTCTATTTACCTAGCAATGGAAACATACTGTAAAAAAGACAAAGTGGGAAGAACTATACATGTACAACAGAAGGTAAAGGTGAAATTACTTGGCAGTTTTCCTATGCGTCATGTCGGTCCTGTCTGTTGGGCCACAGATTCTCATCCACATCACAACATCACCTGAGAGCAATTTCTCAATTCTGGACATATTTCTTAGCAAACATCTACTCACACTTTGTAGAAATCTGTACAGACATACAATTCTGAGAACATGTTCACTCATTTTGATAGTACAGACTTCCAACCTGAAAAAAAGACTAATTGGTTTGGTGGTTGTGACATTTCAGCTGAGAACCAGGACAAGTTATTTTGCACAGCTGGACAAAAGCAACAAGAATTGTCAAAAACAGCTGACAGATGTACAGAACCATTTGCATGTTGTCCAAAAGCAATTGCAATTTGATGAAAACAACAAGAAATTGCTGATATGATGTGAACAACTGACAACAGAATCTGACGGTTGAACGAGTAGTTCTGAGAAATGCAGTTCTGTTGTGAGAAATGAATGAAAGCGATAGAGAAAAACTGTAAT